GGGCACTGCCCGAGGTGGCCCGAGGAGGCCCTGGGTGCTTGCTGGCCCCTACACCCCAGTGGACTGAGGGACCCTAGTGGGCCGTGGCCCAGAGCAGCTGGGTGTGGGGGTGGAAGGTGCTCCTGGGGTTGCTGCAGGTACTGGTACTGCTGCTGCTGGAGGAATACAGGAGGCACCTGGGCCTGCAGGATCCTGGGGAACAGAAGAGATGATGCTCAGAGACTGCACAGACCCCCCCAGAGCAGCCCTGGGTCGGCCCAGCCCTCCTGGGCATACTAGAAAGACAAGTCAACTCAGCCTCCCCACAGTGGGAAAGGCCTTTTCCACAAGGTGTCAGCCTAAGACCCTCAAGGGCCAGGAAAGCAGGGCTAGAGGGGATTCGGGCCAGAAGGCTTGTTTCTCTCCCAGCTTCACTGTGGCCAGGGCCTTAGGGATTAGCCTGGGCAGTCCTGGGCTTTCTAACCAGTGCTTAAAGAAGGCATCTTTAAAAATACACACTGGAACCTTCTAATCAAAGGCAGGTTCTTTTGGGGTCTGGAGGCCACATCCATCCTGACTGAGTACATCGCCTTCCAGGTCCCTGGACCACGTGGTGGCTGAGCCCCAGCAGCTACCTCTGTGTCTATTATGAGCCTCTAGTGTCAGGCGTCACGTGACATTAGCACCTGCCAGCGGGGCACACACGTTTTTCCCTCCTAGTTCGGGGCCCTTGCAGAAACATTTTTAGAAGACTGTGGCTAAGGTTAGAGTGGCGAGACAGAGGTCAGAAGGAGTCTGAGCTCCAGTCTGACAAAGTAGGCATTTAAATCCCCAAGGTGCCAGCATGGCTCTGCTAGATCCTGAGGGTAGGCATCTCTGGCTTCAAGGGGGTTTGCCAGGGACATACAGGCCTGGCAGAGTGCTGGGCCCACAGCAGGTGCTACCATAATGGTGGCCCATCCTCTCCCTCTCCTAGTGGGGACCGCAACTTACTCTCTGTTTAAAGAGTAAGTGTGACCCAAACACTGCATTTCCTTAGGTGGAGGGGCTGCCTCTGGACTACCACCAGAGCCTGAGTTCACGGACAACGCTTGACTGGCTTCTAGCTCTTCTCAGGACCCTAGGCTAAAAGGCCCTGCCTTCAGTTCCCAACACACAGTCCTCATCGGATCGGCTAAGGCAGAGCTTCCGAGCGCTGAGCAGAGGGTTACACTGAAATGCCCAGCCCCCCTGCACTGCCTAATGCGGCCTTCTCGGGGTGACTTCACGGAACGTGCTCCCCCTGCACCGGGCCTGGCAGACACAACTGGCATTCTTTGGGGATGACTTAGCTCCCAGAAAGAATAGCGTCTCCTTTCCCTTCACACTTGCTCTCCCTTCCCTGCCCCCTACCTCCCTTTTTTTGTTCTCCTGCAAACAGTCTACTTCCTTTCCACGATATTATCTTTTCCTGACAGGGTTCAATAAGGCTGGTCCCAAAGAAGAAACCACGACTCAGCTTCCGAGACTTTCCCCAGCCCAGCCCTGAGAAGGGAGATAAGGTAGGGGGCCTGGGAGGTAAAGGCTGCGGAGAACCCACAAGGCTCTCTGGTTCCTCCAATACCAACATCCTCGCGTCACTCATTTCTCGAGAGCAAGGAAAGGCCAACTGGTGGGAAAGTGGGTGACTAAATGAAGAATCAGCACGCACAAAGAGAAGCAGACTTTGACCTTGAGCTATCAGAGGAATGGAGTGTGCATATCTCAGGCCCCTCTGGGAAGGGGGATCCTGGACCCCCGTGGGATGACTCAGGGTGTGTGAAATGAAGAGTGTGTCAACTTCATTTCTAGGAACCCCTATTTCTGCACTCTCTGGGCTCCCTGTCTCCATGCTTGTCCTTTAGACTCTACTCTCTAGAGGCAGCCAGAGAGGCCTTTTTAAAAAGGTAAGCCCATCACATCCCCTTTAGAATGAAATTCCATGTCCCCCAGCAGCCTCTCAGAGCCTCCACAGAACGGGGCTCATCTAGACCCTGAATCCTCTCCCCCTCCAGCCTGCAGACACATGGATCACAGGGATAAACATGAAAGGAAATGGACAGTAGAGAGAGGGCAACTCTGCCCTGGTGCAGAATGGGAGAGGTCTCTAAGGAGGCCATTTGGTCCTCCCTGCCTCCAGTTAGGCACGCCTCCCAATACTCAGAGAAGGAGGTCCCCTTCTTCCCACTTAACTTAGAGCTTGGCAATGATTCCCAACCCTGCCTTTAGCAAGTTCTTTCTGAGACCTGACCTTTAACCCCCTGTTGTAACTCATACCCCCTGGGAACACTCGGCTATAGGTAGTTAGACAAAGGTGTCCATGTCCGAATCAAAGCAAGGGATGTCACCAAGTTCTCCTGTGACCTTAGCTAAGTCCCGCTCTGGGCATTAGCTCCTCAGTCTTGGGAAGGAGCCGTGACACAAGGGGCTCCGGAGGCTCTCTATCCTGGGAGAACTACCCTGACAGGAAGTCAAGAGCTCGAAAGGGCACGGTGGGCAGTTACCTGACTTCAGCATGCTGGAGGTGTGGGCTGCCGCGGGCGCGGTACCGCGGGTCGGTGACAGCCGTGGTGGTCTCGTGAGCTAGCATAATGTGTGGGTACTGAGGTGGAGGTCCACGGGGCTCCGGGCCCTCGGCATGGGGGCCTCTGGGTGGGGGGCCCTGCTGATTTCGGGCCAGCTGTGGGAAGCTGTGGGAGGAGCTCATGTGGCTAGGGGCCCGGGCACCGTTCCTCTCCAGGGACAGCTGCAGGAGCCGTTCGCTCAGGGAGCGCACATGGCCATGCCTCAGCTCTCGCAGGGCCTCATCTTGCCTCCGATTGCCTCCAGGGCCCCCTCGGGGATCTTGGTCGCCAACATGTGGCCGGGGCCCTGCCTGCTGGGCCGCATAGTACTGCAAATGGGCTTTCGCCTCCTCATAGGTGGGCAGCTCTTCACCCTTGCTGGGCTGTGGGCACAGCCGGTAGAGGGGATTCTCTGCCAGGTGGGTCTCACCGCCCTGGTGCTCCTGGCCCTGGGGCTCCTGCCTTGTGGCCTGCTGCACCTGGCTGTCCTCGGGTGCCAAAATCTCCAGGGAGGCTTGGGGGCTCCCTGTGCCCCCAGCTCCAGCCCCACCCCGCAGGGCCTGCTGCTGGATGGCCAGCAGCGTGCGTGTCTCAGTCAGATTGCCATAGCGCAGCTGCTCCTGGATGAGGCGGTGCAGGACTGTTCCAGAGGAGTCTTCCAGCGTCCTCATGCTTCCTCAGCTTGCACACACCTACCCAGACAATGGCCAGAGGCACGTGGCCCCAGGGCACCTGGGAAGAAAAAAAGAAGAACAATGAGTGGCGGCACATGGGAAAGGGATGAACTTTCCATTAGGTCCAAAGTTTAATGGTAAAGAGCAAGGCCTAGAATTCCACACAAGCCTGAGTTCAACCGCCAGTGCTGCCCCTGATTAATGCAAGTTATCTAAGCTCTGAGCCTGTTTCTCCATCAGAAAAAAACGGAAAGAATAACGCTTGCTGCATGAAGTTGCAAATTAAAAGAGGCAGTGGCTGTTGAGTTCTGGTGCACTATAATCTTTGGCAAAGGATTGCCATTATAACTATATTCATGGGGACTTACTATGCCTCAGAGAAAGACACCAGTACCTAGAAGGCAAGCAACCAGAAACCATAGCCTCCTGCAGTCCACCCATCAAAGAGCCTGATGAGAAACTCCAGGACAGACCTAGATCAAATCAAACCACTTAGCTGTCCAGTCCAGGGGTGCACAGGACCCCACTTTATTGGCAGGTGATAAAGAATGAGTCCAATCCAGTAGAAGCCCTGGGCAAGCAGCCCCCAGCACCCTCTAGGTTAAATAATGCACGCCTGAGCTTTAGCTAACACCACCCTTTACCCTGTGGAGCCCTCCTTGTCATGGGATGACCTTGGCAGTCACTTTGCAAGGTAAATAGAAAGAAGGAGAAATGATTCTGGATTGGTGAATAAGGGATGAAAGAAGAGATACTACAATAGGGCAATGGTTCTGTGAGATGAGGCAAAAAGGTGCGACCCATCAAGGTTTGTGGGTCAGTTACAGAGCCTGTGTGTGTTGACAGTATCTGTATGGGCACTCAAGGGAAAAAGAAAGGATGGACGTCTTTGAGTTTACAATTACCGTCAGCCACCACACACACACACACACACACACACTACTTGGAAAAGCCCCCTATGGTCCTCTAGCCACATAGCAGATGGGCACTCAGCATCTGGACATCAGTAACACCCACTTGAGCCAAATGGAGGAGTAAGGGAAGGAGGGGGTGGCTCTTGGTTGCAGGGACCTGGAGGCTGGGGGCTGTGAGTGCGGGGAGATTACGTCCCGAAGAAGGTGTTCCCTTTGGAGCTTGGGCTCCCAGTGGCTCATGCCTGGAAGGCGGCCTTCCTTTCCACAGCCTCCTCCAACACAAACCTCCAAACTGGGATTCAGGGAAAGCCAAACAAAACCCACACCTCCACAAGGTCCTGTGTGCATGGGAGGAGGGGAATGGGAGGAATGTGGCCCTTCCTCTGCCACAAAACTAGATCCAGTGGCTGCTGCATTGCGCTTGGCAGGTTGTCAGAGCAGCCATTCCTCGTCCACTCCCTCCTCCTAGCTGCCCACAGCTGAGGAGCAGGAGATAAGTCTGGAGGACATCTCTGTCCCCATCCTTCCTGGCACCCAAGCATGCCGTCCCCTCCCCCTACACACTCCTGGAGTGGAGAGGCAAGACTTCAGGGCTACCAGAGGCAACACAAACAAGAATCAGTTTGCCCTAGAGCAGCGATTTTCAACCGCTGTGCTGCAAAGAGGCACCCTGGTGTGCCACAGGAATTTTTAAAACATGCAATACCTGACTATTTAGTCCGGGGCACTGACCTCTTTTCCCTTAGATTGCCAAATGAAAAAACGACAACAGCCAACACAACAATAGCCCTCCAGTGTGAATGAATCAAAATTATATCTATTTTTTTTGCCAGATCGGCAAAAAAATAGAATTTTCTTGGTGTGCCGAAGAATTTTAGCAATTAGTTTATGTGTGCCAATAAATGAAAAAGGTTGAAAATCGCTGCCCTAGACTTTCACCCGCCAGGCATTTCCTAAGTCCCTCACTGTCCGCCTGACAGGGGACAGATTCCCGACCTCCTTCCCCCAACGATGTGCCTGGGAGCAGGGAACCCCTCCTCCGGGCCTCTCATCCCGAGTTCGTGCTCGTCAAGACCCTCAGATGCACATCTTTTTAGCCTAGCCGTTACTGAAATCTGCGCCCCACCCACCCCCACCCCACCTCCGCGGTTCACGCCGGCCGCAATAGCGCGCCGGGGTCTCTGAACCCCTCCTTTCCAAGCCAGCACCCATCTCCGGCCTTTGCCAGGGCTCACGCTCGCCTAAGAAAAGAGTGAGGGTCTCCCCAACCGCACCGCAGCCGGGGAGCCCGCCCTACCCGCACTCCCAGGCGACTACACGCACTCGGGGGCTGTCCGTGCGCCTAGAGCCAGCGGGCGAAGGTAGCCGGTGGCCCAGGGAGGTCTTTTAAGCGTCGCGGGCCCGCCTCCTTCCCTCCCTCGCCAGCCCTCTTTGTTTTCCGAATGCCCCAGCGCTGACGTCAGCGGGCTGGACGGCAGGCTGCATTCTTTCTAAGTGAGAGCCAAATCGTGGCTCCAAAGAGGATTTTCCAAGGAAGACAAAGAGGAATTCTTGGGCTAGTTGGGGGGCAAAGGCACCTGTAACCCCCACCGAATCAAATCAGCCCCAGGGCCCTGAGCCTTGAATTCGAAACGGCGCCTCTAGTGCTGTTCCGCGCCCCTCTCCTCGACCCGCGACCCAAACACGAACCCCGCTCTCCCCAGAGGCTGCCCAGTTCCCCAGCTCCAGGGGACCCGCGCGCCTTCGAGAACTCCCCCACTCCGGGCGCACGGTGCGGCCCCCTGGGGCGGGGAGGCCCTTGCCCACCTTTGTCACTGCCTAGAAAGGGCTCCCTTGCCCCCTGATGAGGATGCTGGGTCCGCCACGCTCCTGCTCTTGGAAGAGACCGGGCCGCGCCAGGGCACCGAATTCGACTGGGGCGCGTCCCTGCCGGCCCCGTGCGCTGCCTGAAGCGCCGATCGGCCTTCCTTACCGCTGAGGCCCGCGGGTGCTCAGCGCCGTCAGACCGACGACCTAGCCCGGCTCAGCTCGGCTCAGCTCGGCGGCGGAGGTGTGCACTCGGCGGTGGCGCCGATGCTCTGGCCGCTCGGGCCCCAGCGCGCAGCCTCAGGGTCGGCCCGCGCTGGAGGCGGCTGCTATGCCAGGAATGTGAGAGTTTCAGGTTCCCCCTAGGGATCAAAGCGAACCACAAATAACCTCTCAGCGCGCCGCCTCCTCCGCCCTCCGCCCTCCGCCTCCTCCCGCTCCCTCCTCCCGGCCCCCACTGTCCTCCGGGGAGACGGCGCTGCGGGCCTGGCGCGGGGCTGGCCCCCAAGCCCTGTTCCCGGGCTGCTCTGGGCTCTACAGGACCTACTGCGCCCCTCCCATCCCGCTCCCCCTTTCTGCTCCGATATGCTTTGCCTTCGGAACTGCTAGGGGCAAATTAATCCGACTCAGTCCAATACCTTCCCCAACCCGGTCCCCGCCTTCCTATCACCCCTTCATCCCACGGGCGGGATGACACAGAGGGATGTACCCCGCTTGTCCCTGAAGGATTCCAGGTGTCCTTGCGGGAGAGGACTGGGCAAGGGGGTTGGGGGGCTCAGTGTGTGTGTGTGTGTGTGTGTGTGTGCGCGCGCGCGCGCCCGTGCGTGTGTGCGTGTGTGTGTGTGTGTGTGTGTGTGTGTGTGTGTGTATACAGGGGGAAGGAGGTCTGCAAAGTCACATCTGCCTGGTTGGACCGTGCACCCTTGGGAAGAGAAGACTTTGCTTCCTGCCTGGAGCCCTTTCCTAACCCCCACTGCTTTCACCGCTCGCGGCGACCTTTGAATTGCACTTTTATTGTTTACAGACACCTTTGCCAGCTCTTTTAGGACCTGTCTCCACAGGAAGTGTGAATCTGGGTTGGAAAATGTACCAGTTAACGTGATCCACCGAACCGACTGAATCACCTGCCGCCAGGCGCTTTGTCCAACTCTAACCGAAGAAGGCAGGAATGGGCAGCTCTTTACGCAGAGCGCCCGGTGTGCCACCACCCGCTCTTCTCCTAGTCACCCCACTCGGCCCTCCCAGTCATCCAGCCAGGGAGTTCTGTTACCATCCTTGTGTTATAAACGACACCAAGTCTCTGAGAGGTTAATTAGATCGCCCCGGGTCACACAGGGAGTAAGTGACGAAGCCAGGTAACCACCGGGCTGCTTAGTTTCTCATTCTCAAAACCCTTCCATGGCCACCATAATCCAGGCTCCCTAGAGGGACAGGCCAGGCTCTGGGAGCCCACCTCTCCCCATTCGCCCTCTCTCTGGTCCAGTGTTTTCATTTCCCCCTATATCCCCTCCAGCCACCAACACCCTCCATGTCCACTTCTGTTTCTCCTCTGGATGGAATTCTCTCCTCTGCATTTAGGACCCTCCCTCCCTCCCCCACCTTCCCACCAAGCTGGTCCGTTTGTGCTGATGAAAACCCTTTCTTCAGAAAGCCTGCTCTGACACACCCTCCGCACCTGCCTTTCCCTTCCCCCACAGCTCTGTTGGCATTCCTCAGCCCTAACCACACAGGGCCTCCTAACACATATTGGAGGGGGGAGAGGGTCTGTCAGTGCTGTCCACCAGGAGAACCAGGGCTAACTTCCACATGTGTCTGGGTCATCTCCTCCTCCCCTCACCATGAAGTTTGCAATTCCAAGATCTGCTGGAGGGGGACCAGGAACAAGAAAACGTTGTAAGTTTAAAGAGCTATTTACTGTCCGGGGACATTGTTAATTTTTAATAAAACCTTCCCAAAATATTTGTGTATGTGTGTGTGTGATTTACCTGGAAGCCAAATATTGCATTTGGCATATCTCTGCAAACAGTGATCAGCTCTGGGACAAATGAGAAAATAAGTCATTTGTGCCAAGCGGAGGGATATTTGGCTACCCAAGGACCACCTCACAAAGAGAAACTATGGCCAATATGCCCCTGTCTCAACTAGATACACTAGGTAGAAATTTGAGAAATGAAAAGGAAGAGAGAAGAGGTCCCCAGGTGGCCTTACCCTGTGGACAGCATTCTTCTTGGAAACACTTGGTGGAGGCGTGAGAGTGGGTGTGGACATGTGCACTCTGGGGTTGCAAAATCAAGGGAAAGGTCACATGGTACAGTTTCTGTCTTTGGGGCACTGGGGGACACCTGACAAAATGCTTGGCAAACATTCTTGAGATGGTTGCCGAAAGGGGCGGGCCCAAGGGAGCTAGAGTCAAGGAGGTACATCTTGGAGTGGGTAAGTATGCTGCAGACATAAATCAGCCCTCGTGACTACTCACCTCCATGTCCCAGAGCAACAGTAGGGGGAGAGGGACCCCCAAACCTGAATGGGAAATTTACACACAGTTTTATTTTCTCCCCTTCTCTGCAAAGATGGAGGGCAGGGCCCTTCCAGGCAGGGCAGGGCCAGAGGCCTCAGTGGAGCTGGCTGAGCTGGCAGCCACACCTGGCTCTGCAGGGTGATTGGGTGAGAGGGTCACCACAGCTCAGATGTGCCAGAGGCAGGTGCGCACAGGTGGGCCCTGGGCAGGCCAGCCTGCTAGCACATACATCTTCTTTGCTTACAGCAGAGGAAGAGAGGCTTGCCTAGGGAGCCAGTGCTTTCTTCTTCCCAGCTTTGTCCCTCTCTGCCTTTCTCTCTTATTCCCTTCCCCCTGCAGGTAATGACTCTTCCCAGATGACAGTGTGACTGGCTGGGTCTGGAATCCTGCCCAGGAAAGATGCAGAGGTGACCCAATTCTCAGAGTAAACCAGGCTTGATGCTTTTGCTCTGGAGACTGCAGCTTCCAGGGGTGTGACTGCACCCTAGGTGTGTACAGGCCTTAGCAAGGGATCCAGGCACCCACACCCTCGTCCCTCCTTAGCCTGGGCCTGGGCTGTGTCCCACTGCACCCAACAGGAATATGCAAGTGAGTTCTGAGCTAGACCTAGCAGCCCCCTCCCATGGAGCTGGGAAAGGAATGGTCTCCTATTTCCCAAATGGTTAATTGGTGGAGGAGGGGCTCCAGGGCCCAGATGGCAACATCAAAGGAAGACCCTGCTAGTTGTGAAATTCTCCTTCTAGCCTCTCCTGGACACTTCCTTTGACAGGTTATGGGGGACAGAAAGCTCACCAGGATCTGGGACAGGTAGCAAATTCCCAGCAAAAGCCTGGGCATTTGAGATGGAAGTGCCAGGGCTTCCGTTTTAAGAGCCAAGCGAGGGCCCTTATTCTCTTTCTCCTTCTGTAAGACCCTGGGTCCATTACTCACCTCCTTTTAAGCCCAGCCCTGGGAAATCCCGTCCCAGGTTTCCACCCCAAAATCCTCTCCTTCCACCACCACCACCTCCTTTCACTCCAGGTATCAGGCCCAGAATCTCCATCAGACACAGGCTGCCTCACAGGGCCAGTGTCTTTGGGGGATTAATTCCTCCAGAGATGAAGCATTTTTGAAATTAGACCCCACAATGGTTGAGGTAAGAGTGTGCTGATCTAAAAATTAAAGGAGTTCTGACTTTCCAAACTGCACATACCCCTTTGGTCGCTGGCCTTCCTCTGTGCCCTTGGCTTCAGATGTTCCTACAGGCCCAGGGGTGGGATGATTTCTGCAGGCGGTGAGGTCCCACACTGAGGAGGGAGTTCTGAACACTGCTCTGGGGTCTGTAACTGCCTGGAACCTCCAAGATCCCCAGTCCTGCATGTGTCTCGGAATAGTGTCTGATGGATATTGGTGGATAAACTGACAATCTATAGGACTGCACCCTCCAGTTTATTCGTCTCTGGGCAGCCATCAGGCAGGGATGGGGAACTAAGAATTGGCACATTCGAGGCAGTGAAGAAGGGAAGATCGCATTGCAATATCAATGTGACTCCAGACCCCTGCCTTCTCTGCACAGCTCCCTTGTACAGAGAACTGATTTGGTGGACATGCCACTGCTGCGTGGAGAGACCCTCAGCTCTTGGCAAGGGGCTGCAGGGAATGTGAGGAGGCCCTGAGTTTGCAGGGTTCCTTGTAGAAAAGAACCCAGGGTTTTGTGGCTGCTGGAGCAGGGCCAGTGTGATAAAAGACTGCCCCCTAGCGAGCCTAATCCCGCTGCTGGGTCAGCTCCCAGGGCTCCCAAGGTGGATCTTGGGTCCCTGAGAAGGGTGGTGGAGGGATGTTTGGGACTGGGTTTTATCCAGGAGACAGTTGTCTACCAAGCCCCTCCAAGAATGGACTAATGGCTACAGTTGTGTTTCTGACTTTCCTCCCACTTCAGCCTCTCCTGGACTTTCCCATGGTCTTTAAAGAGATGCATATGATCTTTAACACAAACAACCTTAAATCATTGACATTAAGAAAATACCTTGCACTTACTCACCTATTCACCCTTCCGTGCATCTCTTCTGTCTTGTATTGCATGTATTCCTTAAAAATATTTTCTGAGCATGCACTTGGAGCTGGGCCCTGTGAATCCGAGGGAGTTTCCATCCTTGCAGAGTTCACAAGTCACTGGGTGCAGAGAAGAAAGAGGCAAGTGCACTCTACAGCAGGGATTTTCATTTTGGAGGATGAGAGTGTGGGCGCAGGGAGGCAGTTCTAGCAGGCTTCCTGGACGTGATGCTTCTCAAGCTGAATGCTAAGGCCAAGATGGACTGCAAGGTGTCTTCCCCAGGCTGGCATCTGGAGAACCTACACTAGAAGCACAGACCCCCTCCGGGTTCACCAGTACAGAAGCAGGAACTGTTGAGCCACTCATGGGTGGTTACTGACCTCCAGCCCCCATATGTCCCTCTACAGGAGTAACTGTGGGAGGGATTACAGAGGGACACTTTGTGGAGTACATATGCTAAAACATGAAATAGTGTACTTTAAATAAGAATAGTTTTTATAAGTCAATTATACCTCACTAAAAAGAAGATTTAAAAGTCAAACAGTACTACAATGTAAAAAGCAGTGTCCTGTTCCACTCTGCTCCCCACAAAGTTCCATTCACAAGAGACAACCACATTCACGCCTTTTGCATGTTCTGTCATTGACACCTAGGTTTCTGAAAATTAGTCTTCTTCTATTTCATGGTGTTTCTGCTTTAGATAGTATCAATCTATTTCCTACTATGAAGTATTAGGATAGAGCTCTCTTACACACCAA